CGGCGCCGCGTGCATTAGATCGGTCGTGTTTTATTTTTCAACCGCGGGTATTTATTATCCGCGGACCACAGCGGTAAGAGTGGGATCAATTTATATCCACGATGCGTACAAAAAAAAAAAGGATAAATGAAATTTAACGCGACTAGGCGAAAAGCATTTTCTCGTTCGCGCGGTTTCGTTATCCTATTGTAGATAGCGAAACAGAAAGAAATTTATTAACAACTTAAAGCAGTTTCGCGAAAAGTCCAGCTCAATGGAAACACTTGCTTTGTCATCGCGCAATCTCTTAAAAAGACTGCGACCGGGAAAAAGTAGACTTTGCCGGCGCTTACGTTTTACGAGAAAATCGATTACAATTATCGGCGACGAAATTCAACACAATCTTGTACTAATTCCGTGCAAACGAGATACCGAATAATCTCTCCGATAAACTGATATGTATTTAACGCGATATACTCTTTGATTGTATATTATTTGGATAAACGAATTCCAAATATTCCCGATTTTCCTTCAACAAACGACGCGTTTCAAGTTCTACGTGTAGATAAGAAGTTGGCGTATCGATAACGAGACCCGTCGGTTTCTCGGGTATAGTAAACGACAGATCGATAGGGAGATGACTTTTAACGTCGCGTCGCCACGCGATACCTGTATGTCACCGTCGAACAGTGGGAGGCTTTGAAAATGCCACCGAACGTTCCGCGGTAAGGTCAAAGAGAGCATATCTGGTATCGCGATCAACGTCGCGCAACAAAGAAAATACACGCGTAAGACGAGGAAGAAACGAGGCGTTTTTACTTACTCAGTATGTCGAACTGCGGCAGCCATTTCTTCACGAGAATGTTGCTGGATTTCAAGGGCACTTGGTCGGTCTCCCACTTCCAAATTACTTTTCTTGGTATGGAGCTTAGCACGTTCAAAACAGCGGTCAATTTTTCTTCCGGTACGCTAGCCATTTTGATCATCGAGCCGAGATTAAAGTACAGGACGCCTTCGCGAGCCTCGTCCAGAAACTTCTTGACGTCCTTCGGTAGGGGACTCGGTTTCGATGGTAAATGCATTCCACCCACTTCGACGATATTGGGCGGAAACAGTTGGGCACCGTGAAGAGAATAATGCGTGTTGAGCAGCATCAACGACACGTTCTTACTGATCTCCTTCACATCCGGGACCCCCGGGCCGTAGTACTTCTCTCCCAAGGATTGATCGTGCCAGTGGAATATGGTATCGTAGACAGACGTCGCCAACCATGTCGCTAGAACGTTCCACGTTCTCTGAAGAAAGTTCATCGGCCTTTCCAAACCGCTAAAGATCGACGGCTTGTGGCTGGCCTCGTAGGAAGCCCCCAATTGATCTATGGCCCAATCCATCAATTGGTGAGTAGATATTTGGACAAAGGGAGCGTCCAACTTTTTAATCACAGGCATGAAACAATTGGTGTTGAAGCTCTCCGTTATCACCAAATCGAACTTTTCTCCCGACTCGACTATCCTTTTCAATTCGGGATTCTTTAACGCGTTCTCGCAAGTCATTCGCGCCATCACGCTCAGCATGTATATATTCTTGATCATTTTGAAGATCGTGTCGTCCATCTCGCGCAGATCGATCACGTTTATCATAACGTTGTGCTCCCCGTCCAACAGACTGACGTCCTTGTAGTTAGGCAGTGGTTCCGCCGCGATCGATTTCTCGCTTCTAGGAAAATGAGAAACCACCGTCAGATCGTGACCGCGGCGTGCCAAGGACTCCAGAAGAGGTTTGAAAACGTCGAAGTGGCTCTTGCCGTTGTGGCCGAATATCGCCAAGATCTTGAACTTGCTCGATTCGGAGCTGGCATCCTTCGCCGCTGAACACAGCGCGAAAAACATGAGGGAACACAGGAGAATCCACCGAGTCCGCATGTCGAAGAAACGATGGAGACGTTAAATAAACTGTGTTTAATCGAATGCAACCCAAGTTCCGACAGTAGTCGATTCGAGGAGTATTAATTCGAGACTGCGAGAGTTGGTTCATCACCGGTTACACCGCGAGAGCAGTGTGACGAAATTTGACGTAGATAGTGCTGCTGCTTCATCAGGGGGGGAAGTCCTAGCGAACGTTACGAGTTACGTCTAAAGATAATAACGTAGTACTTAACGACTAAAATATGCATAGATAGTACACAACGTTGAATAAAAGAAATTATTCTTACCTGTTAGATCGGTAATATTACTTTTCAGCGAATTTATCCACGTTGCATAAGTAAAGTTCTTCTTACCGATTAGATATCATTTTTCATCTAGTTCTTTTCGATGCGTATTATCGAGGATTTCCTAGATAAGCTCTTATCACGTGATTTCTAGCGATAGACGATCCCCTCGACAGTTTTTGCGGTTAGTGAAAATCTGACACGAAGATAAAATGAAAAATGAGTTCGCAGCCAGGTTCGATATCGTGGTTAATACGCGCCTGGGGATTATATAATACAGTAGTTCAAAGGCCCGATTACGTGTTTTAACGGCGAGCACAGAGACGATTAGCTATTCCGAGCTCGTAACATAAGAAGTCTACCGTGTCGTCGTCACTTGATCGCGTTTGCTTCGAACAAACTGAGACGTGTGCGTTCTACGTAACTTTTTCTCGTTACGCTTATAATTACACGACTCGAATCAACGCGCCGAGAGCTTTAATTCGTGCGCAAACTTCCAACAGATTTACAAGGAACACGGAAGCGGGGAAACCAGCCCTTTTGAGATAAAAACGATTCTAATCACATAGAGTCAACGGCGCCGAATCGCACATATGCTTAAAGCGACGGGTCCGGTAATCTCGGATCAAAGTGTATTCGTAGAAACGAACATTGGATTTCGCCCAAAAAATACAGTAACCTTGACATCGTTCGGACTATCGTTTCAAAATGTACCGATTCCCGCGAGCTACAATGTAAATACCGCGGAATCTTTGACACGCCAAACCGAAGAAAGAAACGAACAATTTTGTGTAACAAGGAACTACCGCTAATGCAGTTTAAGCGAGAACACGGACGTTTATCTCGAGTATGCGAGCGTAAGCAAAGTGAACCGCGCGAAAAGTAAACGCGCTTTATCCGATGCGTTTCACGGTTTCTCCGTGCCACGTAGTTTTTTCTTTCTTTTTTTTTTTTTTTATTCTTTCAGTTCTTTCCGACACGACTACATTAATTGTAACAGCACTTTGCTTAATTACCTCCGAGCACCCTTACACCGTACTAGTTCCACTCTATACGCGTACTTCTTTATTCCCCTTTTATTCGAACGATTTTCGATACTTGTCGCTTTTCCCTGCCTCCGATAATTCCGCTCCGAAAAACACGATTCCAAGCAAGTAAATACCGCGCGCGAGAAAGATGTACGAAAGATGTACACGATGTGTTTTCTTCGCGTCTCCATTGAAAATGGGTAATAAAATAATGAATCGACGGAGTGGAATTTTAATTCTAATTTTATCATATGTCATCACACGAGGAAGTAACGTCCGTGTTCTACGAAATTTTCCAAAGAACTAACTGGATGAACAAAGAGAGAGTCCTGCATAACAGGTGTCGATTGATTTTTGTCGATCGTATATTCCAACAGTTTCCAACCCCCGTGTTTCTTTTCAAACGTGTTCACCCTTCGGGCGTTCTATCCCTGATTTTACCCAATTTCTACCTAAAAAAAAAAAAATATACATGTCGAATCGAGTAACCTTCCTTTACGAAGTCGGTTAAAAAGTTTATCGATCGCAAACGAATCCGTCGGCCGCGAAACATGCTCAAATCTTCGATCTACCCGCGGCGTTCTATTTATGAAGTCCCAGCAGTGAAGAAACCAGCACCATAAATTTCCCGTAAAAATCTCTTAATCCCGAACCCCCTCGGCACACCGCGCGGCAGATAACGAATCCAGCAAATCAAAATAAACGATACGGTTCGCGAATATCCGCCGTGGATCGACCCGTGGAAATTGATGCCTGCCTCTCTGTCCGTTCTCCGGCCTGTCCAAAACGCGATAAACGATCCTCGTCGCGAGACGCAAGTTTCCCGCCAACGGAGAACTCGCGACCAATTGTCGTTCGCGAGGTTCCAAGGGCAGAGAAAAGTTCCAACAATCGCCGAGATTCGCGTCTCTCTGATCCATGAAAATCTCTACTTAAATAATATTAATATCCCGAGTCCATAAATATTTACCCACCTATCCATCAATTCTTCGAACGTTTCTTCTTTTTCTAGTTTCTTCGCTTCCCATGCTCCCGTTGGAGGAAAACATTAATGATTTCCAACGAGAAAACGGTGTGGATCCTGTATTTTTAGCCACGCAGCGGCGCAAACGATGGACTCGGTCGGCCAGCGTTGTTTAATTCATGAATTCAGACCAGCCAGAGCGGGGTCGTCGTCTACAAATTACCAGGGGCAAGAACGAAGCCAAAAGCCGCGCCGAAACGCGCTAATCTACGAACGTTTCGCGCGAAACGATGTCGAGTAACAGGCGACGTGCCGTCGATTCCGCGTTCGCGCGTACGACGCGATTAAATCTACGATTACGCGAGTACGACTCCGACTTTTTTATTAAAATACGAACGAACGCTTTTCCTGAATAATCCCAGCTGCTGCTTCTAGTTCTTGGACTGAAACTTTCAATTTACCGAGGACATTTATTAAGTAAGATATATTTACGTCTGTCCCACCCCCGCTCTCTATGAATTCCGCCTTTACTTTAGAAAACACCGTTTAAAATCGTTTCATAACGCACAAACGGCCTCGGTTTCTATTGACTTTTAATTTAAATGCCCGATCGCGTCGATACGACTCGGCAAGTTTTATCGGGGCCCGTTGCTAACTACTGTTTATCGAACGCTAACGAAACCGCCTGGACGGATACCTATTATAATTGGAGATCTCTCGTGTGTAATCGAAGCCCACGTTTTAACGAGAACTCGCCGTGATGCAGACGAATTTGGATATTCGCGTTCTTTCTGGTCTGAGAAAAAATATATATATACGAGACAGAGAAATGTAGAATTAACGCTGATTCTAATAGCAAACAGAAAATGTTAGATCTCGAAATAGGATTTGGCACTATTTACGACACTCTAACTTGTCGTCTACGATGCCTAACGTTCGGGATATTTCTCGTGCCGCGAACATCCCTATTTCTCGCAACATTCTTAGCTGTAATCGACCTCTAGAGGTTTACCCACTTCCGTCGAATTTCCCGGTAAACTTTCAGCCACGAAGATTTCGTTGCATTCGAGAGTCATTAACGCGAAGTGGCTTACCCCAGAGTGGATTCTCCAGGCCGAACGGGGCTCGTCCGCTTTTACGCGTGTCACCCTTTCTCGAGTGACGGTCCGCGGCGTTACGTACGCGAACGGCAGTAAAAGAAACCCGCGCGAAAGGGCGAACAAAGAGACGCGGCAAGGAAAGGGGGTGGAAAAGCAGAGAAAACAACGCCGTGGGTGGGTTGGAAGGTCGGTCGTAACGGCGAATAGAACAGCAACATAAAACGTCGCGAGAAAGGCGCGTTGGTCTCCCGCAATTTCTTCGGGATCGACGAACCTACCCTCGCCCAGCTTATTAACTTTTATGAGGGGTAGCAAGAAACGAGTGAGAAAAGGATGGCTGGGACGAGCGAAAAAGAAGCGACGATGCAGAGCGTCGTTTGCAGAGCGCGAAAATATTCCGGACTTCTACCCGGAATAAGAGGACGGTCTTAATCCTTCGACGTTCATGTAATCCAGCTTGGCGTTTCAACGGAATTCCTTTCAAAAAAAATGTCGATATAACATCGCAAGAAAAAAGAAAAGAAAAGAAACTGAAAACGTACAAATATAGGACGAGCATCGAGGACATTCCACCTTTCTGACCCAATCTGTTCAATTATTTTAACGCACGCAACTCGCAAAGAGGAGAATCGTCACTGTCCCTTTAGCAAAGATCCATCTTTCATCTTTGATTCCTGGAAGCACTCGCACAACGATGGACGCACCGGTGCAAGTGGTACAAATGAAAGAGACATAAAGGGTTGACAAGGTCGATGGAAAGGTCCTCTTTAAGGGACACAAGAAGAAATTTCTGTGATCGTATCGCCTAAAGTCTTTGTTAATTTTTAGTTGCACTCGCATCGCTAAACTTTTAGATGGCCCGCCGAGGCAAAATCGTCGAGACGAAGATAGGACGATAGGAGGGAAAGATAACCGACGAGAAGGTTGAAAGAGAGACGGAGAGACAGAGGGAAAATGGAGAGGGTTGCCGAGAGGTCGGTGAGACGAATGACTCCCGAGGGAAATTTAGGTGCGACCCCTATGTATCACAGAGCCTGCCTGTAAGTAGGTACGTAACCGACGTATAATACGTACACACCACATACTCGCGCGCAAAAGAACCGCGGGCACTGACTTGAATTCACTGCCGACGGATTCGACGATCCGTGGAATCGCGGCGCGAAACTCTCGCGCCTACAAATTGTTTCGTCCAGACGTCCGGGATTTACAGGAACCGCGAATTGGGATTCTTCGGCTACGTATCCGGCTAACAAGAACATGATAATCCTCGCGTAACGCGCTAAGTATTTTAAACTCGTTATCGCTACTTTTATGTTACATCAAAAATCCGTTAACGATAACGAACTGCACGAATCCGAGACCAAAGACTGGGTGATAAAACGGCTTCCAGCTTGTGCCTTTTTTCACCTTTGTGCATCGCGCCGAACGCAAAGATCCCGACGGCAGGAAAAATGGTAATAAAATCGATGGCCTGGATCTGCCGTCGGTTTGTAATTGAATCAAATTAATCAACCTCATCGACCCCAAGTCCGCACCGGCGCGGCGTCGCTGTGGCAGCGCGCCGCTTACCATCTCCAATTAATAGCAGAAAAGCTCCACGTTTCGTTGGAACTTTATAAAACGAATCCAATTACGGGCGGCCGTTTGTCAAAGACTCAAAGCCATGGAAAAGTTTTACCTCGGTTCGGAAATGACATCGACGGCGGCGGGCTGTTTTTCTTCTCCCGTTCTGTCAATAGGGGAATAAATGAGAGACCCGCGAACGTGGCATTAGGAGTCACCTGCGAAATGACGTTGTCGAGTACGGGGGATTTCCGAGACATTAACGAGTAATGTCCACTCGCACGAAAAACTCTACGTGGTAATAGTTGCGCGTGGATCTCGTCCACGCCTAAGTAGATTGCCAAAATTCTCTTGTTAATACTTGTGTATTAGGAACCAGCGGAATATGTACTTAAGCGCTTTGGTTCCCAGGGTACGGTAAATTATTAAGCCATTTAGGGATTAATTGTTTATATTTGAGCAATTTCGAATTTTGAACAAATCTACGCCGAAGAAAGATGAATTCGTATTTGAATTTTATGAAAACACCTGGCATCAATCGCAAAACGTGATCGATTTGTGCGAACACACACCGATGGACGAGGCTTTCTCCAAACATGGGGCGCTAGTGTCACCCCATATAACTTCCAAAGTTCTCTCTTTAAAATGGCGTTCGATAGAAAATCAAAAAGAAATACAAATCTGCAAACGTCCTGTCATAAAGATAGTAACAAGTTATTTGCAAGAGAGAAACCTTAATTTTATTGATGCATTTTGAATAACAACTGAAGAGGTATCTTGGTACGAAAGTCACTTCTTAAATATTACAAAATATTTCTTCGCTAAAATGTTTACCTATCTCTCGTTACCATTAGACAAGCTAATCAAAGTTGGAATTCGTGATTATTACAGGCTTACGATAGAATACACCTTTAAAAACATTCTACACTTTGGTTCGATACTTGTACGTCTACGTCATAATACACACAATGTCCACGTATGCCTAAGTAAGATCTGTTTTCTGACTAGGTCTCGTGGCACTCACAGATTACGAATAGTTTTGCAGATCGTGTAACATTCTAAACCTCATTTTTCATTAAAACCAAATTATCAACATTAATCGATTACTAATTTTCGTTAGAATTTATCTACAATGCCAAATCGATTTTACGTACCGTCTGTATCGCGCACTTGCGACGTAAAAATTTTACCACGAAAGATCGAACAGTTGACAATTGCATGTCATTCGTGGACGGTAAATACCAAACGCTATATACGGACTGGCTTTATAGCCGGGCAAATATTGCTCGGGGACTGAAAGCTTGGCTCTTTACAATACTTTACACGATATCCTTAAAAGAGATCAAGCTAACTTGAAGGAATGAATGTCCTTTTCAGCCTGTAGCTTATTTTACTTACATGGGAAATGCAAGGGATTTAATCAAAAACGATCAACTACAATGTAAATGTATGTACATCAATAAAAACACGTTTCCCCAATTTCACCTATGCTTATTTTATCTATTACAACAACTGCATATATGATTTTTCGAACATAAAATGCAATAGGTATATGCAAGATTGGAATTCCTATAGGCAAATGATAGATCTTTTTACAAAATTTCGAAATAAACCCCTAACACCTAACATTGCGATAATATAAAAGTTTAAACAAAGAAAATAACACGAGACGTGTCACCGACGTGAATTAAAAGAACTATACAATATGTGCGATCAGAAACGAAAACCTTTTAGAGCAGTTTTGGTTTATCTACGTATTGTTTGCCATGATGAATGATCGTTGCAAATGTACCACCCACCATAGCGCCCCAAAATAGCATATACAACAAAATTTCAGTGGTATATCTCGAAGGGAGAATTATATGAGCAACTAGCATCGACGATGCAACAAGAAGTACCAAGGGGAACGTAGCGTAACGCCAATTTCTTTCGCTCTCTAAAGGACATTGAACCAATGTGCATTCACCGTCTTGCACGATGTAACGACCCAAGAATAAATCCAGTGAATCCTGTTAAATAAATATAGTAAAAATCATCTTATACGAGTACAAATTCCAACATTTCTATAATAATAATCCCCTACCTGTCTGTATCCGTCGGTAAAATTATTTTTGTAATATCTTGTTAAAGAATTCAAGCCGTCTCTCATAGCACCCAATTTAGTACGCTTCCCAGTTCGCGTAAAATCTGTTTTCAATGCGCCAGTACCCGAATACTGGATACTTATCACATCAGCATTGTCAGCCCAAACCTGAGCATTACATTAAAATTAAATATAAAGGAACTACAGATCGCAACGAGAAGTAAGTCCATTATAGTTACCTGTTTAAAATGTTCTTCGACGCTAGGGTGATCTTCGATTCTCCTAAGAATTTCCAACTTTGATAACGCATGGTTAAGAACTCTCTTTGCTATCATACTTTGAACAACGTTGGTTCTATCGAGACAATCGATACAATTAGTACGAAAAACACCCTCTTGAGCGGACAGTAGCGTCCCGTCATCCGCGAGGAAAAAGTAACCCATCTGTTCCAATTCGTGAGCTAGCCGATCAAGTAAAACGTTCAATCGGTCCCATCTTAATCTTCTGCATTCGGCGTGAAAATCAAAACTTTCGTACTGAACGTTCTGATTATTAATTCGTTGTACTACATTGCGGTATGCCTTTTCAAGTATCGCCTCTGGACCATGTTGATCGATCTTTAAATAAGAGTATTATTATCGGTCGATTTAAATAGAAGAATAGGTTGTCAGGTTAAGGAAATACCTTACCAAATTAATCAAAATTTGTTTTCCATAGTGAAATATCTGAGCCTCAAAATGCCGTGCGCAAGCAGTTTGATGATCTTCGTGATTACTCAACTGAGGTTTAGGTTTGTATTTCAAATTTGGTGCCTGATACCAGAACAATGGAATAGAGCCACGTGTTTGTACAAAAGATATGCGATACCCATTGGATTCGATCAACTGTTCTGTTTCTACATAGTTAGAAACATTACCAGTAGAATCTATGCCGCGCGAAAACAATCTCGTTCCAGCACGATGGACGCTACGTCTAGATACGATACCTAAATTGAACGATGTACTACCAGTTACAGTTACCGTATTTAGCGATACAACTACGAAGAAATGTTAAGAATAATACAAGAATTGAACAAATATAAGCGATATATATTCTAGAATACTCCTTATTTGCAAGGATACATCCATGGATAATGGGCAAACAAAATTTGTACTGCTCTGGCCTCGAAGTTAAATCTTGTAGAAGATAAGCATTCCATACAAATCTAAGGTCTGCTCTATCGTGAAGGGGCATCTATATGTAGTACAGAAACAGTGTACTTCTATTACAATGTATAAACAATTATTTGATAATAATTAATTAAAGAAAATTAACCTGTAAGAATTCAGGTGTTGTATTATGAAGTCTTTGCATTGTATGGCTAAGGTCGTATGTATAACTAAAATAAAAATATGGTGTATTCAAAACAGATTTGATCATTTCTAAATATATAGAATTATTTTGTTGCTGTTTTTCACTTAGATGCAACGAAGATTTTGTATAAGGTATAATTTCTGTTGCAACTATTTTGTAAATTTGATGTCCAGCAATGGTTCCAATATCTGTGGCATTTGTAATGACTATGAGATACCGGCCTGCTAATAACCTTATAGTTCCTATTATACCCCATATTTTTCTACGACTCGCAGTCGATGGGATCTGACTGGCTGTACCAGCTAAAATATAGGACTATTTCAGAAACTCAAATCTTTAATTGATGTACAAATGACACTAAACATAACCTACAATCCTAGTTACCTTGTGTATAAATTTGCTGACTCACTCTATCAAATACAAGTAATACTTTAGTCCCAATAGGTTCTATGTAGAACTTTTCTGGTGTTATGTATCTGAAAAAAATGTTATTTATCAATACATTTCATGTGACAATGGGACAGTTTTGAACCAATCGTTTTGGAGTAATTAATAATTAATTACAGATGAAAATACTCACAAATACAATTTGTCATATACATCTGCATGCAGCTTCATGTTGTCACGCAACAATAATTTCCACGGTATGTTATAATATAAACTGTTAAGAACCGAAATTTAACGAGAAGAAAAAGTAAACTACAATGACAATTAAAATCGTAGCCCAAACATATACGTGAAATAGAAAACGATATAAACTTAGTTATGGGTAAATTGTCAAATGGTTGTCAACTGAATGATTGAATTGGCATGATAAAGATCTGTCAAAATTGGAGTAACCTCCATACGTATCTGACAATCAGTCGCACCTACTCCTCACAATGCAATGCTCCGGTTCAATTCTACTTGACAGTGCTGTCTAGTTGGATAGTCTACTGCTGCTATTGCACGAACAGGTTACGATTTTAGTAAGTCATTGGACATAATTGCTAATATTTCACTACTTCACTATCCACAGATAAAAATTAAGAAACCTCTTGAGATACTGTTCGAGTACGTGCTGGTACGTGCGAGAGTCATACTATTTGCGCAGCCATCTAGCGATGAGTATAAAATCGTTAGTGGCGCCATCAGCGGGAAAACGCTCAAGTTTGTTCTCGAATAGTTCCTTCTTTTATTGCAAAATGGCGCCATTCGGCTAATTGTTGGTAATTTACCTACGGAACGTCGGTAATTCAAGGTAAATGGCGCCATCTAACAGTGCCAGTGGAACTATTCGAGGACAAACTTTAGAGTTTGTCCCTCCCGATAGAGGCGCTGACCATACTCAGAAAAATAGTTCGGCCTATCTACCACGAGATGGCAGCAGTATTTTTATCGCGAAATTTGAACCTCTTTATAAGGAAATATAAAGAAATAATAAATAATAACAAACGCAGAGTAGTAATAAATTGTCCAAGTACAGGAAATTAAAGTTAAAGCTTACATGCATTTATGTTTCAATCAGCAACCGATCAAATATAGATCTTTCGCTGATGAACGATGGGTGAAAGGGTGAACGAATACACACGGTCGACAACATTCTCAAATTGCTAATTTTATTTATAGGTTTCTTTATGACACAAATCACTTTTAGCGTCTACATGAGTAGGAGATACAGGCTATACGAGAATGAATTTGATACAGATCACTTATTAGTGTAATTGTAATATGTATCCTCCCTTGTAATTAGTGTAATATGTATCTTCAATTACACGCTATAAACTAGATACTTAGAAAACACTGTACAATGCAGCTGAAAACTGTCGTGGATACTTTACAATATCTTACAAGCACTCATTTTGATGCGAGACGAGCTCAGCCGCGGCTAGAGCCGAAAAAAAAAAGAAAAATGGTTCGGTTTCCTTTTTTGAGAATGATTTTTCGCGATCAGCCGCGGGCAGGCTTTACTCATTCAGCGATTCGATGACGTCTAGCGCGGTCTGTAGGCCGTGTTTAGCGGAGCTTGGAAGCTGCTCGGCGTCGAAACAGTCTCGGTGTGACGCTCGCTTATGCTAACACCATTTTGGAGAACGGGGCCTCCGGAGAGACGCTGGAACAGCTTCCTCGTCCCTGACCATCGCTGGGGACCACAACGGACCACCCTCGTGACGTCGTCTACGTTCCTCGCAAAGTGAACTAACGGCCAAGTTCCTTGAGCAGAATCCGGGCGGAGGACGATCTCGATCGCGATTTCGACACGACGATCGACGTCCAGGCTCGACGTGCCTCGAGGATCTTCGCCAACGAAACTGAACTCGAACCCCTACGCGCGGAGTTTAATTACAATAAATTTCAACTTGGAGCCTGCGATCGAGTACGAAACGATGTTTGTTAGGGATCGTTGGGAATCACTAGAGAAAAGTGTAGGAGTCGGATCGAACTCGATGTTTCGAACGCGTACTCTTTGGGGTACTGTAAGGGAAAAGAACAAACAAAACAAAGAGTAAACAAACGAACGTGAGGTAACACAAATCTCTGCGTTTCTAATTGTCTTAATTTCTCATGGGGGGGAGGGGGATTGAAAAATGTCCCTCCACGAGTATTATGGTAATAAAAAGGTGGGAAGGTTTGCATCCCACTGTGCCCCAAAGAGTTGGCACGTCAAGTGACGTTTAACGTGTTCACCCTTTGCACTCCTCAGGCCAGTCTATTTAAAGACGTCTCCCTCCTATAGATAATAAAATGCACATAATATTTCGGATATAATTCTGATTAATATCTGATAAACTCCCACCATTTTTTATGGTGGTTATACAGCTGAGGAACGAAAAAATAAGGTACCAACGCATAGCATAATTACTTGGAGTGCAAAGGGTTGTGTGCGTTCAGCGTTGCATCGAGCGTCCCCCCGCGATCTCTGCCCCCGCAACCCGACTCTTCGTACAGCAGTCATCGTCGTCACATGCACACGCTCATCCACGCACACGCAGACACACTACCATTACGCACACGTATACGGAATAATACATCGCACCGCTTTACGAGTCTTTTCTTTGTGGCCAACGTCTGTCAGTGCTATCAACGACGACCCCCCTCGTCGTGAATCGTCGGTTGTCTTTGTGTTTGTACATGCTTGCTCGATCGATCTCTCCCCGTCTCGATCCATCGATCTTCTTCTTCGCTTCGTCCCCCTACCCTCGACGAACAGATTCGCTCCACTTTGACGCAAACAAGGGATTTTTGAAGATCTTTGACAGCTACTGGAATACGCAGATGGTAACAGAGGCTGAGGTGGATTAGGGAATCTACTTATTGGCGCGTGTAGATCTTGGACTATATAGGATCTAAGTCGAATGGGAAATTATGATGTATATTTATTTCTCGAAATTTATCGTGGATTTGGATTTAGGAACTTTTATCTTCGAATCGAGGCTTTATGAAACTAAAGTAAATTTTTCAGAATCAGAAGCTTTTTATTCTCTCGCATCAGTATTTAAATTAGATAGCTCATGTGCTCGTATACCCCTTAAGTCACCGATTTAGGGATCTCTAAAAGCCAAAACAGCCGAGAGGAACGCGGAGGGGGGACATCCGTGAGTGCTCCATCTTGACCACTGACAGACGAATTCGAAACGGATCGTTAATTGTAAAAAATATGTATTATCGATAATATTGGCATGATGTCGTTATGGCACGTTCAGTTTACCGTTCAGTGACGCGTTTACAGGCTTATCTTACGTTTCTCGCTATACGGACATCGCGTGATTATCTCAGTCGAGGGGTGGGTCGCGAACAAACGTAGAAAAAGTTGAGAACAAAAGGAAATAATGGGAAGGAAAAACGCTTCGCTAAACTGTTTCTTCTTGTCTTTGCTCTCTCTCTCTCTCTCGCACGCACTCGTACACACACGCTCATACACCCACGCAATCTATTTCTTTCTTTCGTTTTCTTATTACTCGCCTCGACAACGCTCACACGTGACATCCACATCGCGACACTCTTAACACTCTTCTTTCCATCGTCGTCGTCAAAGTTCTCCATTGCACTTTCCCATTCGACGCAACAAATGCACCTTAGAACGTATTTTATGTACAAAAGCTGCTCCCTAATGCGAACACGCGTGAAAACAATTTTCCATCCGGTTTCCCTTCTATGGCCGTGGTTCGATTATTTCTTCTTCGATTGCTTCTTTAGCCCCGCGTTTTCGGTCGTTATCGTCGCGGTTAAGGAGTGGGCAGAGGGATGGAAAACGGGGAACAATGCGCAATAAAAGGAGAAGATTAACTAGCAAGATTTTTCGTTTAACAGCTGTGCGTCGCAGACTCTCTGGATTTAGAATAATTTTAAACGTGTTCTATCCGATGGACTGCCATGATTAAAATTAACCCCGATAGAATTTCCTCGGATCTATCACGGGAAGGGAAAGTAAACGAGATCAGAGTATCCAAAACTCTAAATACAAGTAAGATGGTACATAAAAACAGCAATTAATTATTTTAATTTTTGCCAATTGGTTTCGCAAAATGCAAAACTAAAATCAGCAATCCCTCTCTGTCAGGAAGTTTTATTTTAGAGCCCCAGAAGAATCGATCGTCTGTTCAAACATTTCTTTTTTTTTTAAATTTCAGGCCTTGAAATCATCATGCCTAACTATTCCAACAAAATGGCTCCGGGCTTTGAATCTCCCGGTTCCTCGAAGAAACATCGGCGATGGGAAGATGGCGAAAGGCGAAAGAAAAACGACAGGGGAACGTAGTCGTCCAAGGAGGTTTTGGGGGGGGGGGGGGGGAGGATCGGAAGAAAAACCGATATCATCGCTAGACGACGCTCGATAAATAATGCAACGTGTCTCTCTCTTTCTCGCGCGGCCTCGATCGTGAACGATCGCGAAGAAGCGTAGAGGAGCGACGGCTCGATCGAACGCGATCTTCTCAGACGCGTTTTCTAATGGAAGCTCTCGATCGCGCCTTCGATGCTATAGAACAGTCTCTTTCGCCGTGGTTATTGTCTTCGATGGGACGAAAGCGCAAAATGGTGCGCGCTCGTCTCGATCGCTGCGTCCGCGTCTTCTCGATCTCTTCGGTGGTTTCGATCACGTCGCGTGAGAGAATCGAAAAGGGAACCGGGAAGAACCGGCCGAGGAGGTGTGATTGGCAGCGTTAAAGAGGTTGGAGGGGGCGCGGTGGATCGTTCACGAAGGAGACGGTTTCGATCTCGAGTTCGAACAGATTATACCTGAGATTTCACCTAAACAGCTCGTTAATATATTATGCAATGGAGATCCACGGATGGGTGACACCTTTGGATCGTTCGAGTCCCGATAACAGGTATCCAACTGTCGCGTTACACCGTGGTTGCAGCGAAAACAAATGGCCGCTCAAGGTTAACACGGTGTAACACCCACCTCCTACGATGTTTCGCGTTTTTTTTGAAATCGAGCCTGGATTCAGGGTGGCCTCGAGCGGCGGATCGATTACATTCCGACTATAGTTTTCGAGACAGGGGATGGAGGGGAGGGGATGGCGTGTACAAAAGCGTACAGGGGGGGGGGGGAGGTTGGTGTAACGGCGAACGTCGGATACGGAGGACAGAGGTGTCGGAAATTGTTCATAGGGCGACCTAAAAGTAACGAGCTCTGCACTAAAAAAAAAAAAAAAGAGATCTTACACGCTAATTAATCGCATTGTGTATAGACTTTTAAAAAAATAACAAATTACATACAGAAGATAGGTATTTTGACACCGTAAGGTCGAATAAATGAATGACAATAAAAAGTCTCGTCCTCGTTCCAAACGACTCATCATCATCATCATCATCATCATCTGTTGCTCTCTCCTCTTGTTCACTTTGCTCTTTCTCACTCTCCCGCTCTCGTGTCACGTTCTCCCTTTTCGTTACATACACGCACTCGCTTTCTCTCGTTTTTTGCTCGTTTTACCTTTAGTTATACACGTCTGCGGTATAATTACTTTATAGAATATAGTACCTGGCACAGGAACATGACCTCTCAGTCATTGGCATCACAACGTAACAAGGACTACAAGCTGTGTCACGCACCTTCGTATCGTCTCTTCTCGCCCATTTCACGCACGCACCAACCA